TTTAGGCGAGGTGAGTTAACTGCAAAGCGTGCTCCCGCAGCGGCCCACCAGGGCCCTCATAAAGTATTAAATGCTGTTATTCGTGTGATGAAGCATTATTGGTTTGTAAAGTAAGCTCATAAGTTTGCTATGATTTGTTCATATGAACTGACTCATCTTTCAGAGCTTTACACATCGCCCTAAGAAATGGTTTGATCGAATTCATGCTGAGTTTCGTTCCGTTCAGCATCGATTCGATGTGGATCAAGGTAGGCCTTATGAAGTTGCTAAAAAAAAGATCAAGTGTTCCCGAACACTTCCAGCTGAAAGCCACGGAAAATCTTATCGTTAGTAAATTGGAGGTTGTTTTATTCTCTCAAAATCATCACCTGTTAGGATTCGAGCGGTCGATTCCCATTGATGAGCGCTGTTGATGATCCGGACATCGTGGACTGTATGCAGTTGTTACTTTCGTGCATGATGGAACAGGCACCCGCTGACATTTCCTCCCTTTTATCCCAGGATCGTCGGCAAAGTACGTCGCTACATAGATTTTGTTACTGTTTCTTATGATTTTGTGGTTTATATCAATTCATTTTTTTTATTTCTCATTTTTTTTACAATGCAGCGGAGTTGCACCTCGAATCAGTACCGGTATTAAATCACGCTAGGGTGTGGGCGAGGCTATCTCGTGCACACCGAAATGACTATCCACTGGGCACGAGATGTAGCATGCCTGGAAGCCCATCCCCTAAGTCTCTGCCCACATATCCACTCTGGTCTTCGCATTTTAGCGACCGCTCATTATTCCTTTTTTCAATGATTTGGAACGTTGTGGTAATTTGTTTCAGATCGATTAATGAAATAATTTTCGCGTTCATTTCCTCATGCGAACCTGTTATTGACTGGTTTAGTTGAGATGAAGTAAACGAAGTAAAGTTAACGCAAAACAGAAGCTTTTCTCACAGATTGAGAAGTTTGTGGTCTTAATAAACTTTTGGCAAGTGTGATTACGGCAAAATTTCGTATCCAAGACTGGGTTTTCTTGTGTTTATTAAGTCCCATGGTGCATAGCTTGAACACTAGCTCGATATTAAAAAAGGATAAAGCATTTGCCGTTGATCAATCCCTTTTTGGGATGCGGCACGCATTCTACTTCCATTTGTACATTCGCAGTGGCGTTTGAATGCGATGTGGCCTATACAATGACTTGCGGGGGCCAGCCGATG